CATTATTGATTAGCCGATGCGTCCTCCCAGGTTAGAAATATTATCGTCATCAATTAGTTGCTTGAATGGGAGAATACGCAAGTAGACACAACCATAGAAGATTATTCTCCTTCAATACGAGCCTCGGCTGCCAAGGGTCGGCAAGTGCTGACTCATAGGGTCATGTGACCACGCAGTCAGGTTCTATCCATTTCACTTTTTACACGGATGCTGAAATTCGAAGTCAATTGCAACATGCCAACACCTTCTTATTTTCGAACGGGCTTGTCAATCGATTCGGACTACAACGCAAATAAACTTATGTCCTCTTCTGCATGGCTCTCAATCGGGTAGCCCGACAAACAATTACAACATCATTTAAACTAATCTGTCCTGAGCACTTGGGCCTGTCGCCTTTCTTTGGCTTTCTTGATTGAACGTGGTGGGGAATACTAATAGATGTTAGAAGCACTGAACGGGGGCGAGCCTTGTAGGTACGCATGCATACTTGGGTTAATCTCGAGCAATGTCATTAAAACCCGGTCTTTGGGATACGAAACGTAGAATGCAATATATGTGAACATTTCTGGAATATGGGACTCGCCAGGCAGTTGATATATGTTGATATATAGTTGATATATAGTTGAATCACATGTATCATTTGAAATGTGCATTCCCATGAACACTGGAATGATCTAAAGCAATATCAAGATTATCCCTTTTCTCCTCCAAGAAATGAACTTGCTTGGCATTTTGGCATTGATTGTTTTGATAAGTGCATATATCCGTATTCTTGTAAACACCGGCCGGCATCTTCCAGTTGACATTACCCTCAAAGTACTCTGATTCCTTCAGCTGTTTATGTCTTGGGTGACATGTAAAACTTGCACACTCGTGGTGAGCTCACAGCCGAGCCCTGTCAAAATTGCATCTGTCGTAACGGGCCATTTATTGGCTGTGTTATGTGTATTCTGAGGAATGAAGGCAGCCATCATCACCGAGGAAATGGACAAACACGTCACGTTATCCCGTTTGGGTATGTTGTTTACCTCTAACCCAATGGGGCAATTTTGAACCCACTCCCTGTTCCAACAACAAACCATTTATTTAATTTACTCCGTACTCTTATTGATGATTGCCGCCAGCTGAAAGCCCCTCTCAACCACGCGTGGATTTGGCTAAAAGATGTCGAAAGACGCGTGAGCTCGGCCATCTTGAGGTCATTTTCCTATATCTGATAGTTATCCGCCCCGCTCCACTAACTAATAGTGCGTTTTTGTTTTGATTTTTCCGATTACGGATGAGCTGGCAGCCTACCCAGAACATTTATTCAGCGTGTTCCACGGAGTGCCAGCAGCACTGCAGCCTAAAATAAACAATTCGTTGATTTCCCCTCAGTGGGCAGTTGACTCTGCGCGTCCTCGTCCGCAAATAGTGCCACAAGCTTGCCATTTTAGATACTTCGATATCCAGCTTGCACCTGTTACCACAAGCCCCTGGTTGTACATTGCAATCTCTCGAAAACATAAATAAAATATTTGAAACAGGGTAAGTGGGGTTCCTAACTAAGTCTTGTTTTTGGGATATCTTTTCAAAATTGCCCAGCGTTGTTACATGGCTCACATTGTATCCGGAGCCAACGTCGTTTTCTCGTCATCTCTTTCCCGGTACACACGTTGAAATGGAGCCTTTTTTTTTTTCACGCGTTATGGCCAATTTACTAATTTCTGCAGCATCAGATCGTACAAGTCATCATACTGCTGTGAAATTCTGACAGCTCTTATTTGTTGCAGCTGAACATCAGGATGGCTGCCAGAAATAGGAGGTCATCCAGCAAGCCTGATCACGGATCGTATACGGCGTCGATTGGGAGTAGCGGACGGATAGAAAATAATCCCGGAAGCATTTTGCCGTCGCGATCTTCTATCATGGAACCTCGAACACCCACCAGAATAGGGAAAATATCGAAAAAGGTCAGATTTTCTGATCCTGGCCTCCCAATACAACAACTATCTAGCAATCTAGACAGCAACCTGTCAACCGGTTTAACACCGGCGATTAAGCGGACAAGACTTGTATCACAGAACTCTCCATCGATAAAAGAACCTAGCGCTAAAAGGACTCGTCGTCGCTACTCAGAACCTAACTGGCAAACCGACAACAATGGGGTAAAATATGAGTTGCCAGAACTACCGACTGAAGCCCAAACGTTCCAGTTTTTATCCTGCAGCGCAATCCTTAATGCTAGAGCTAGACGGCGCATTGCACGATTTGGGCTTAGTGAAGAAATGAACAACATCAATGAGAGAAAGAAAGAGAAGGAAAGGGAGGAAAGGGCAAAAGAAGAAGAACTGGCGAATCTGAGGCGAGAATTAAGCACCTTACGTAAAGTGAAGACTGAAGCACAAGATGACAGCGCCCCGTACACTCCGGAAAGAATTAGGGAGCTTTCCGAGGCAAGACATCGGATTGCGGAATTGGAGACCTTGTTGAGGAAGTATGAGGATTCAGCACGTGCGGAAAATCTGTCAATATCCCAGCCTGCAAATGAGGATGAAGAGATGATATTTGTTGGTGACGACATTACGATGATGGACAATGACATGCTCACCGCTTCGTCAAGCCCGGTTTCGTCGCGACTGTCCTCCAATCGCCGGCGTACTTCAGATGCATGGACTCAAATATCTCGACAAGATACAGAGCAAGATGCAGAGAACAACGCCCTATCTGCCCAACTCCACAATGTGAGACAAGAGAAACGCGCACTTTTCAGAGATTGGTCTTCTCTTTTGGGATCCAATAATATGGATAGAGGAAATGGTTCTCAAGCAGAGAGCCCTCCAAACCGTTCAGCTTCCCCTCCACCAAATTTCTTACCTCAAATCGTCACTACGCTACGCAAGATTTTGTCTCGAGAATCAAAGGCTATTGGAAAACTCGAAAGTGTAGCTAAAGACCTCTCCGGCCACGGGTTTGATGGTGCCAGTGCATCTGAAATACTGTCAAATATGGGCGTTCGGTTTCGCCAAGCCAGAATCGAACTCGAACGAGCTGTTCCTGGTGAAACAGCAAATGGAGATTTAATGAACTGGAAAGAAATTATCGATGCACTTGTAGAGCGAATTAACAACTTAGTCCAGGATCTTGCATTGATCCACGAACAGGTTGCTGGTTGCGAACATCGAGAAGCTGCCTTGCGAAACCAGTTCAATATGACATTGCATCGTTTGGAGCAATCTAACAAAAAGAACAAGAATCTCGAAGAAGTTAGCGACTCCATGGCAGAAGACATGATGCATATTCGGATGAAGATGCAGAAACTGGGGCAAGATATCAATGTCCTGGAAACGGATAAAGTCCGCCTCAATAATGCAATAGCAAATTACAGAGCCGATCTCAAAATCCTAGAAGAGCTAAATATGAAACTTGAAGACGACACAATCGCCTCCATGCAAAAAGTCGCCGAGCTAGAGAACGCAAACTCAAACTTACATAGTGAGAATATGCGGGCGAAGGAGGATATTGCCAAATTGGAACAGAACATAAGGGATCAACAACGAATCCGTGAAAAGATGCAGAAACATCTGGACAAGCGTACCGCAGAGCTATCATCTCTTGAATCGAAGATACAACAACTGAAATCCGATCATGACCAAGCCATTGCTTCCCAATCGCAAAATCACGATAAACAGCTAGGAGCCATGAACGTTCGTATCTCATTAATCACCAATGCGCTCAATGAAACCCAATCAGAAATCGAAACGCTTCGTGTAGACAAGGCTCGTTTGCAGTCCCGATTGAACTCCCTGCAAAAGCTGTTCTCGCAAGAAACCATCCACACCGCGCGAGAGAGAGCCAGTGCAACTGTCAGGGAACTCATGGAGTGGGAAAATGGGATGTCTGCTTTGTATGGTGGCATTGATAGTCCTAATGACCACCAGAGCGGACAGAACGATAGCGAAGTTCGCAACACGATTAACGATAGTGGATTTGCACCTATTGGGAGCGAACCCATCACGCCGTCATGCGATAGGTTTGTGAACGTGGAGGTCTACAGAGGGGATAAGAGGAAGAGACGGCGACCGGACTCTGGGATTGAGATTTTGAAAGAAGAAGAAGAGGAGGAGGAGGAGGAGGGGGAGGAGGAGGGGGAGGGTGGGGATGCCTTGGAGGATTCAGGAATTGGGAATCGCGGGTAGGTCGTGCCGTGGCACTCTACATCGCTCATGCGAAGTTACATTCATTGTGGATCTCTCTTATGTTTTCTCTTTGGATGTTTGCTATCTACACATCTTTTTGGGATCATATTTCTTCTTGGTCCTTTTGCAATACTATACTTTCTTTGGGGATATTTTTTCTTTATACTTTTGGATACTCAAGGAGATTCGGCAGACAGATGTTGTACAATATGATAACATTCTCAAGTTTTCAGCCTTAGTTTTGGGGGAGGAAATGATCATATGGGGGTTTTCTCTTGCGTTCGCAGACGCCAGAAATTCGACACCCCGTTTTCACAAGAATATTGATTCAAGGGTCGCAGCATTGAAATCGGCAGAGCTGACTTCTGCTAACTAATGGGTCGAAATGGCGAGGCTGAATGGATGTTGATACAATACCCGGTCCACGATCCCTGATAAAACCCCATCAATCCCATTCATTGCCTTTAATTTAGTCACTCGAGGTTTGAAATTGCATGAAGATGATCGGGGTTGAAACAAGAAAAGACGGTGGCTGTATGTCTTCTACATTAAATGGGCCAAAACATGGATGCCGAACTTCCTGCGGCCGGTTGATGAGCTGTGATATAAAAGTAGTTCATAACCACCGCTCCGTTCGTCAAGATCTATTTTGATTACCAGCCGATTATAATTCCTGACATTATCCCGTTTAAGATAATTAAATACACAGCATATCTGATCGACTTTGCGATCCATGAAACTCACACTCGCTGCACTAGGAGCCTCAGGAGTCGTGGCTAACGCCGCTGCCCAAGGATCCAATATCTCCTATTTGATTACAATATGTCGATTTCGCAAGCGCACATAAATACGGAGCTCGTTTTATCATCAGGGTGCATCCATACTTCCATCCTCCACCTCTTTCAATTCTCTTCTCCATCGGTCATAAAATCGCAAACCAAGCACAACTATCAGGCTACTAAGGGCACCAACTACACCGACCCTTCCTTCAGCATTCACTACACGAGTGCAACAAAGGCCGGCTTTATTCGTGCTGGATATCAGTTCGCGCACCCAGATTCAGCCATTGGTGCAGCACAAACTGCACACTTCCTAGCGCATTTGGGGGGATTGACCGGCAACGGCATAACTTTGCCTGGCATGTTGGATATCGAAAGCAACCCGAATGGATCCCAATGCTACGAGCTCAGTGCATCTGCGATGGTGTCGTGGATTCTAGGATTTCGTCAATAACCTGCGAAAGCAAAAAGGTATCCCATGATCTACGCGTCGCCTAGCTGGTGGAAACCATGCACTGGAGATAGCGGGGCGTTTGCGGATACATGTTCATTGTTGATGGCCAGGTGAGCGGATGGCGACGGCACGCCGCCTGGCGGTTGGACACATACCATCTGGCAGCTCGGATAAGTATGAGGTTGGGGGAGATGGGGATATGTTAAATGGTGATCAGCGGGGTTAGGTTTAGTTAGCTTCTGGCTAGTTGAGGGGCTAGATTTCGGATTTTGTGGTCTGGCCAAGTTCAGTCTGAGATATATATAAGCAGGCGAACGTGAAACTTGTACATAAGTAGTAACGATGGTTCCCTTTCTATCAGTGATTCTGCGAGTTTGTTCTTACATATTATGAAATAATATCAGGGACCGTTCTTCTCACTGCCGCGGGGCAACTATTCTGTCGGCGCTATTCATGTGAAAACGGGAAGCAAAGAGAGAGTAGAGGTATTCTGCAGGCTTTATACATAGTTCTATTACAGTTGGTATATATGTGAAAGGTTTCTGGGAAAAGATTTTAACTAGTTAACTAGTTAGTTATAGCTTCAAAAGCTGATGACAAACCAGCGACCGACCTTAGACAAGACACTATATAACCACCATCTAACGACTCTCCCGGCTGGCGGCATCTGTGTTTAGCTGGTAACCGACTCTCCGATGAAAAATCCTAAATCTAGCAAAGAGATTTTGTGTTTTTACTTATTTACCAGGATGGACGGGTTGCCGCATTTTACACCGAGTTCGTCATCAAGGGCGCGTTTCCTTGATATGAAATCTGATATCATCAAAGGGTTGCTTGGAAGAATAACTTTAAGAGAATGGAATTAACCGTGATATTGAAAAGCGCGTATCAGGAGCCAGAAGAAAGAGTGAATAATAGCCTTTGACTGATTAAGTTCAATTTCTTCCACGGATTCCGACATTGCAGTGTCAATCAACACAATTTCACAGTCTCTGATGCTCACCATCTATGGTCCCGGAGGAGTCTAACTGGTTACATCCACAGAAGTATTGTACTCTGCCTGTATACTTCTATCAAAAGGGGAGGGGCTCTGAATCATGTCGAACAAAACTCCTGCCTACATCCTCTCCGTGACCGCTGGCCCTACCTACAACTCCTCAACCCACAACCCAGTCACTGTCAATTCTCCCGTCCCCCACCTCATCGAAACAGAGCACGCAACCATTGATCTCCGCGTCCGCATCCAAGACTTCACAGGTGCGTATTAAAGAACCTCCCTCTCTCTTTTCACCCTTCCTTTTCTCCTTTGACATGATTTCCCCCTCACAGGTCTTCCCCGCACATCTCCCCGCACATCCCCCTACTTCTCGCATCCAATCCATAGAAACGACCAATACTCCATCGCCATCTCACTAGTCCCCAAACACGCTGTGGGCGGCACAGATCTGGTTTTCGGCAACGATTTTGACCACCCCATCCGCCATAACCTGCCGCCAGGCACGAACAAAGCGCTGAAGATTGTCAAGTGGACCATCGACCCAGGATTGGAGGGTGATGCGTATACGGATCGGCCGTATTTGTATGGGCCAGCGTTATCGAGTTGGAATTTCCTGAGGGTTTGTGATGTTGTTGAGGGAGGCCGGAATTGGAAGGTGGAAGAAGAGGTTATTCAAGAAGGCGGAGAGGGTGGTGGTGAGGAGGTGAGGAGGAAGTTGGATATTCCTGATGATGCGGTGAGGAGGAGAAAGTTTTTCCTGGATAAGGCGAATCGTGAGCGATTTGTGTTTGAGGAAGGGAGGTTGTATAAGGCAGATTTTGGGAATGGGTATTTGGGGTTTAATGGCGAGTTTCATGAAATATGATCGCTTTTCTCCATGAGGGGGATAGAAGATAGTGGGCTAACGAGGCTTTGTACAGATTTTTCTCTTCGACTCCCCGGCTTCAGCATCAAAGTCACCAAATACATTAACGTTAAAAACCATCAACTCCGCTACGTGTTGAAGAACAAGCGCACTGGCGATGTGTATTTTGTGGTGCTCTTTACATTGCTTCTGGATGGTGATGGTAGGGAATGGGAAGGCGAGGAGATTGGTGTTGCTGATGGTGGTGGTGGTGATGGTGACAATGGTGACGATGACGACAGCGACGACGACGACGATGATGATGATGATGGAAACAAAGACAAGTATATTGACAATGATGAGGGCGTCGATTGAGTCTGATATAAGTATTAGAAAAATTACGGCTTGAACGCAGTCACGACTGATGATCGCTCTCATGAGACACATGAGGAATTTTTTGTATTGATCCATACGGATTGTCTTGGGTTAAATAGAGATTGGAAAACGCATCGGGATTGGGCATACGCTTGCACTATACTACGGTTTCGGCGAAATTAAAGTGATTGAATACGATTATGACTTTCACATACGTAACGCTCAAATTTGAATCTATACTTTTGGTGTTTGTAATTACCAGTGACTTCTTTTGAGGGTTTTCCCCATTTTTTCAACTGTTTCATAACCCCAAAATTCAGCAACCACAAAGTTAACTTTCTATAGCCTCAACATCGCATGCTTTACTACATCTACAACCTCTTCAACACATCCTCTAGCACCTCATCCGTCTTCGCCTTTCCCCCCAAATCCGGCGACAAAAACGTCCCCGCATCCAGATTTTCATCAACTGCCTTATAAATGCTAGCAGCAGCCTTTCCCTCCCCCAAAAACTCCAACATAAGCGCGACACTTCTCAGCGTCGCGATGGGATTCGCAATACCCTTGCCCTCAATATCCGGCGCAGACCCATGGCACGGTTCACCAATGGCAAAGTTGTCGCCAACATTAGCACTGGGAACAAGACCCAGCGACCCAACAAGTGCCGCAGCGCCATCAGATAGAATATCGCCGTACAAGTTTGGAGCAACTATGACGTCGTAGTACGACGGCTGGCGGAAGAGCTTGTACACCATGGAGTCGACAATTTGTTCCTCGACAGCGACAGTTTCAGCGAAGCGGGTTTGGGCTAGTGCGCGTCGCGCGGTCTCGCGGAAGAGCCCGTCGGTCTGGCTGAGGACGTTGGATTTGTGGGTGATGGTGACCATGGGCTTGGACCTCGCGTTGGACTGTGTGCTGGGGTCTGCGTCGCGGATCTTCTGTCTGCGCAGGGCAATGTCGCCGGCCATTGTGGCAATGCGGAACGAGGCGTGTTCAGAGATCCGCTTGATGGCCTCTGCGACTTTGCCATTAGGAGTGTCACGGGTTTTCTCTTCTTTGACGTAGAGGTCTTCGGTGTTCTCGCGGACGATGACGAGGTCGATTGGGGTCCCGGAGGAGCCTGTGGTGGTGCGGACGGGCCGTACGTTTGCGTATAGGTCAAGGCGTTTGCGGAGAGCAACGATTGGGGAGGAGTAGCCGGCTACTTTTGTGCTTGGGGAACTGTGTATTGGGCATCAGTTAAAAGATGAAGGCCAAGGCGAAGGTAATTGAATTGTGTTAAAATGGATACCTGACAGCCCCGAACAGGGCGCCATCACATTCCTTCTTGAGAACCTCGACGGTTTTATCGGGGAGAGCGGCTCCCGTCTTCTTGAAGGTGTCAAAGCCAGCCTCAAGGTCAACGAAGGAGAATTTCAGGCCCAGAGATGAGGGAAGCGCTTCTAGAAGCCTTCGACCAGCCTGTATTTGGATTTCTTCAGTATTTAAAAAGCTTTCAATTGGTTCCTTTCTTGGTATATCGAGTCATTGCCACAACATCATAGCGGATGAGCATACCGGAATAACCTCTCTGCCAATCCCGTCACCGGGGATGAGGCCTAAATAATATTGTCAATGTGGCAATTTCAATACATGGAAGGTTAAATAGAGAGCAATTGACCTATTCTCAATGTTCTGGCAGCCATGGTCGCGCTATTGAGTGCTGATATGTTTTCTCCTGAATTGCAGTGTCCAAGGTCAACAAAAAGTTTGGGCCAGTCCCGCTGTCGGAGCTTGGCATGCTTACATAAGTGACAAACCTGGCAGATAGAGAATGTGCTCACGTGACGTGAATGCCAAGTTCTTCGAACCCCCTTTTTTTTTTTTTTTCTCTTCTTCCCTCTCTCTGTTTACGTTTCTCCCAAAGACGGACATAAAACGGTATCGAAGGATCCAGGAGATATAAAACCGCGGATAACAATGGTATTAAGGGTTATTGTATGGAGAATTCTCCGTGGAAGAATGTGGATATGCCCTTACGGACATCGTTCAATACAATGCTCGGTGAGGAAAGTGTGGAGGGATATTTAATAACGGCGCTGATATATCTCATAGCAGCCAGCTGAAACGCTCAGCCGGTTTCTGATCCAGACAGACGTTCACGGATGAGCAAGTGTAGATATTTATACCCTCAACACAGCCTTGAGCCTTGAAAATCCAACGAATAATATCGAAGTGAGGGTATTTCTTAATTCGGGTACGACTTTTGAAACTACCGCAAGTAGGAAACCTCCAGAAGAAGCCGTGACAATACAACTGAGGCTGGTTTTTGCCCCTTCATATTCATCCTTCTTTTCCCTTTTCAAGTTCTCATTTGTTACGACACAGCACTGTGAATGAGGACAGGCGTTGATTGGCTGCTATTTAATGTTTGCAGCAAGCCTGTGATCATGCGAGGGAGACACATTCCGTCCATCTCTTCTCGATTTCCGTCTTCTCGATTTCCGAAGCTGGAGGAGTATTCGTCTTGTGCTCCGAATGGAGAGTTGTAAATAATAACCAAAATGTTGTAACTGCCCTTGAAACCACATTCCTATGTGACCCAACAGCCAGCCCCTTACAATTAGTTCATACCGTTGTATGTTGTATCAAATAATATTTTAATTGCCCCCCTTGCAGCGCCGCGGGAGAAAAAGCAAGGAAGACATATAACAACCAGCGACGATCACAGATTATCTTATTTATGCCTAATATAACATGCCGTAGTTGTATTCTTAAATAAATACTCTGCAGCTGCCAGCAAGTGTGCCATTTATGTAATCTTATAAATCCATCTATCCTGTCCTTTCATATTTCACTGCCCTCACCGTGTTTTGTTTCTTCTCCTGTTTGCCCTCAATCACGTTACCCATTCCCCAACACGTGCAGCCTCCCCTTTCTCCCTCCTCTCCCCTTTTTCAACCTCAACCTCACAAGTTCGCCGGTTTCACAATTTCCCCCTCCGTCAGCTTGTTGTTATCTCGTCACCAAATCCTTCGACATATCGATTCACCTGGTTTCAATCTCTTCTCTACAACCGCTCCTCCATCTCCCATGCAAGCCTCCCCTCCCTCTGCATACATTCTCTGCTATAGCCCTGACTGGCCGCCAGCAATCTCATTCCTCGTCCCCCCCGCTGCCTGATCGATTGATTGATCTCTCCTGATCATCCACCATGTCGGACGGTCGGGCCCAGACTGGTGTCCGGAGCCTGCTGGCCCGATTTGAGAACAACAATAATAACAACTCATCAACCTCCCCCCCCTCGAGAGGCCGCTCACCAATCGACACCGACCTCTCCGGCTCCGTCCGCCCTCTCTCAAAGGTCAGAGCAAACTTCGTAGCCGTCGAACGCACTGGACGGCCTGGATCTGCTCCTATGTGGGGGTTGAGAAAAACTTCGGATGTGGATATCAACACTATCAATCACATCAATGACACCAATAATTCGTCTGGGAAACTCGAAAGAACCACGAAAGCCGGTGTCGATGAACTGGGCAGCCCAGTGGAGATGTCATCGGACGATAGTGCGGATAAGGGAATTATGGGCAATTCTTTGGCTTTCTCGGCTCCAGATAATAATAATATTAATAATAACAAAGTCAGCAATGAAGATGGGCTTATGGGCGGCGGGAGTATCAATCGACCTTGGGCTGCTAATCTACCCTCTAAATTTACAGATTCCCCTCCACCCAAAATACATACTACCTCAGGAGATATTTTGGTGACCACTACTTCTGCGACGGAAGGGAAACCGGAACCAGGCAAAAAGGCATCGAAGGGTGACTCACAAGTGGATAAGTCTCAAGAAAAGGATACGGCACTATTGGCTGCTTCTCGTTTGAATGGGAATCCCCGAGGCAAAGATTCACCCAAGAAGACCCGTGTTTCGACGAATCCATCAGCACGTCCTCCAAATATTGTCATTGAAAATGATGTCAATAAGGCAGCGGCCAAGAAGTCTTCACCAAAGGAGCTGAAATCGCCTTTCCCTCGATCACCAAGGACACCAACGACAACTACATCACACACTAACGCCAAACCTACACCTCGTAGCACATCAGCCAAAGGGTCAGACAACTTTCACGCAGCAGCGAAACAACCTAATCGAGCAGCGGCAGGGAAACCCACATCAAAACCCCAATCAACCGTTTCTGCTAGGGAAAAGGCAATGAAACCCTCTACCGAGAACCCTCCCAGTACCGCTAGATCCCGTACAAGATCTCCGACACGCCCCGTCCGTCTTCCAAATTCAGTGATCGCACCAACCGCATCTTCTGCAGCGAAACTAAACCCAGATGGCCGCCCAGCCAGCCAAGCGGGCACAAACACAACTCAACTCAACCGCAAATCATCCAATTTAAGAAGCGATCGAAATTCAATTTCCTCAAGAGCAACCGCGCCAAACGCACCTACAGTGCAGAAACAGCCCTCTCGAGCCTCCTCCTTGGTTCCCCAGCAGAATACATCCCACGACAGGCCCCGATCACGCGTAGGCAACCCCCCCAGCACCACCACCCGTCCGGCTGATGAGTCGTTCTTGGCTAGAATGATGCGTCCCACTGCAAGTTCTGCAAGCAAGATGCATGAGAAGATTGAAATCAAGAGTCCACCCCGGGGATCTGTACCGCCAAAACCACGGAGAAAGAGTGGAGATAGTGCAAGTAGCCATACGAGCATGACCGTGGCGTGTGGCCCGCCCTCTTCGAAGAAGAGAGTTGTCAAAGCTGCGCAGACACAGTCGAATGGACATGTAGAACCGCATAAGGACCCGGAGCCAGATGGCACTCAAGCTGAAGCTGTACCTGCCGCTGCGGTTGCGACTGAGACTGAGGTTGAGGTTGAGGTTGCGATTCAGAAGCCTAAGCCTAAACCTGCCGTAGCTAAGCCCGTGCCTGATACTGTGCCCGAAATCGCTGCTTCTAAAGCTGATCTTCCCGTATTGCCTGCTTCTGAGCCTGCTGCCCTAGAGCCACCGGTCAAGGTGGAAGTCGAGCCTGAACCAGGCTTTTCTGAACCCACTGTTGCTGGTCCTCTCATCCCTGAGCCCATCCCGTTCCCTTTGGCAGAGAAAGCAGAATCTCCCGCTGTCGAAGTGGATCCCGCAAACATCCCATTGCCCGAAGCCACCGAATCTGTTGATCTATGATCGCTTCTCTCTCCGCCTCCAGAACCAATACTATTTTGCGCAATTACGCGCTTTTAACTTTACGTACAGGTCATGACAACATAACGCCTCCCAGCGTCTCCGCTTCATTTCATTTCAGATCCATCTTTGTCACCAATGCCAAATTTAGCAATGCCTATTTCATCTATTTTTTTCACTTTTCAAACCTTCAAGCCATTGGCCTTGTGTGTTTCTTTATTTTGATGGTTCAGATATCACTCGTGCTAGCCTTGATTCGCACCCACGGATATCCTTTGGCCCAACCTAGCTAGCTGCGCCACTATTGAAGCGCGCAATACCGTGTGCCTTCAATTTTTTTTTTTTTTTATTCTTTTTTTTCTTATTCTTTTGCTTTTGGTGTTGTGTTTTTATTTTGGCCCCAAAACAAAGAACATTTCGTTTTACATATCATATATCTTCTCTTAACTTTGGACGAGTCCTGCCTTTTTCAGTTCTATTCCCCCCTAAAATCAACCAAATTAGCTTTGCTTATTTGTATGGCTTTTGTTTTTGTTTTATCTGTCAATTTTTGATCAATCTCCAGTTTTTTTTTCTCCTTAGATTTTACTTCTTGTTTCTTATCGTGTTGTTTGTCACATCAGCCTGGACTTTTTTATATCATTTTATTTTCCGTTTTTCTCCCTACTCTCATTTTCTTTATCCATCCATTCCGCTTACCCTTCACATTTCCACATTTCTATTTTCAATTGTTATTTTTACAATATTTTAATGGTTTTGATTTCAGTCAATTCTCATTTTCAAACGTTTTCTCATTAGCAGAAAGGATTACTTTCTAAAAACATCTTATTTTCATATTTTTAAAATTGTAGCTAGCTTAAGGCTTTTTAAAGACTGAACTGAATTGAATTCACTTGGTTTTATTTGATTATTGCTCTTTCTTGTTACTTTGTTTAATAAGAAGTAACTGAACCTTCAAGTTAAAAGCTCAGCTTGTTCCCTGGGTCGGATTGGTCACCTCTCATATAAGGTTGGGTGGGCCTCGGGTACAGTTCAGGGGTACAGAAGTTTAAGCCTCCATACCCTTGCCGCCGCAGACGCCCAGAACCCTACCCCCGTTCACATTCTCCTATTCCACATACAAGCCTTCCGCGACATCATCTACATTATCCTAGGTGCTATAAACCTTAGATAACATGTACGGTTTGCCATCACGGCCCCGTCCGTCCTTGTCATTCTCTCCCTCTGGAATAGTCCAAACTTGAGCACCACCCCTCATGCAAATCCCACGTCTGCAGCGGCCACCCCATGTGCGCGCTCTCAGGATGACTATCAATCAAGAGCATGTCAACCAACCCGGAGCTTTACGTATCAATACATGAAGCAACACAACTACGTAGAGCCGACGCTAAAACGAACAAGACCAGTATTCCTGATACAGAGCCTACGTGGTTACTCGCAAGCCCGTCCTGGCAATGGAAGTTGTGATATCTCCATTTAGGAAGATGCAAGTCTATATCTGCCAAGCTTCTCTCGACTCGGTAGTTCATTTCATATTGACTGAATAGCACATGACATCGCCATGGCTCCTGGTTATGCAGAGAAGGGGGCTGGTTGAGCGATCCAGTATTCGGCCTGAAACCTCCAGGGTATTATATAGGCACTCCGGGCAACACCAAGCACCCTACGGAGTGTTTTCTCTACAAACTTAGTCTTGAGGCTTTCCTAGGCGGGGAGGAAGTAAATCTTGACTCAGCTATAAATGATCACCTATGTATGTCCATGTGGCAAAAACCAAGGAGGATGGAGGGGACCACCAAAAGGAATAATTCAGGGAAAGTTAGTAAACAGCAAAGTCTCTTTAAAAAGTGACAGCGATGGACAAACACACAAGAACAAAGGTTGGGGGGGAAGGAAAATTAGAAAAAAGAGTTAGATAGTAATTGGTGAGAAGAGTGGGACTCGAACCCACGCAGGTTGCCCTACTACGAATCCCGGCTTAATCAGACGATGTTTGCCAAGACCTGAACGTAGCGCCATAACCACTCGGCCATCTTCCCGATTCTCGTTTGGGTGTTACTGGACCCCAATCCAATTTTTAGGCAAACTGGCAAATTTCTGCTGGAAGCACACTGCCACTCCGATGCTTAGGGGTTGAGTTAGACACAGCACTTCCTGTCAAAATAGAGTAAATAAAAACAAACAAGTGCACCAGATATTAATAGAAGGTAAAATGGACTGAATGTGCAATTGCTGAGGTTGAAAACGTATGTCCTGCTTCTGCTATTGTATTGTTTACAAGCAATATTTACGTCCAGAAGCAGAGAACGGGAAGAGTCTCAAGGCTGTACACTCTACTCGACACCAGCCAAGTACTATGGGAATCAAACAATTCTCAGTGCACATGAAGGGTTACATTAAGTAGCGTAAAATGGTTTGATTAATCCGCATATATACATCTGAGAAACCAAATTCAATCTAGAGCTATCGTAGCTCAATCGGAAGAAACCGATATGCATATGTCCCAGATCATCATCCCTGTTTACCGGTATACTTCAACGCATACAGGCCTCTCTCAAAACTATTCAGAACGACAGTCCCACTCTTGAAATAGGGTGGATACACACTCCACGAGCCTACAAACTCAACTTCACCACCAAGCGCATCGTCCTCCGGGTGGCAATCGAAGAAGCCCACCCCCCTAAATTTTTTACCGGTTGGGTCCCGGGCTACGGAACACATCCACAATGCGCAGGCCAGGCCCATAGTTAGATTGGTACGACAGTCCTTTTAAGGACATATTGGTTGTGTTCAATAGACTTAACCGGCGATTGATAGAAGCCAGTGAAGCGTGGCGCAGCGAGGTTTTTGACGTCGACCATGGTGAGTGTGTCTTCGTTGAAGTTGAAGCAGATTTCGCAGTTCCTGTATTGCTTGTGGGGATCCTTTGTATATTACGCATTGGGCTACACAGAGGATTATGTTAGACGTAGATAATTGAGAATGCAGCTAAGGAGGGAGATGGAGATGCGTACCGCCATGAACGTATCCGTCTTCGTTGACGGATCCAGGAGATGTAGGCTTGTCAGGGTTGGAAACGTTGATCATAAACAAGCCACCCGCACAAGAGGTTTTGCGTCCTGTTCCAACGGCATAGACCTTGTTGGTCTCTTCGTGGGCAACAATGTTGTGAGAGCTGCCAAAGCCCTCGAACCACGCGGTGAGATCCTTTTTGATATCGAAAGTGACTGGCTCACCCTTGATCCCCACCAGTTATATATTTCATTACAAGTCAGCAAATTTTCAACCAAAGAAGAAATAGTCCTCTAGCTCATACCTTGTGCTGATCAAAGATTTGCAACCCGTGACCTGGAGCTTCGGATCCAATGTAAACGTAACCATCATGACCTTCATGTCGTCCCAGAGGCTTTGCTCTGTTTGGGTTGGCAAACGGCCAAGATATTTGAGCTCTCCGTTCTTCAAGATCTCAGCGAAGGCGGTACCGTCTGTTTGTCCGACTGCAACAAACTCACGGCCGCCAGGGGCATTCCGACCTATATAATCGTTATGTAAGAGGACAAGTCCAATTAAAGAGGTTATCGAAAAGAAAACGCTAAAGTGACGTAGCCAACGTACCCCAGACATCATTTCCCTCCCTGGAAGTACTTTCCATGTCCTCATGGCTCAGGAAAGAGAGCATATCGACCATGCCGGGGTTAGGGTTAGGGTTAGGGTTAGGGTTAGTTTAATGGCAATGAACATCGCCTCACCACCCCGCCATCGATCATCGACGCAGCGCTTCAGGCTTTTGTTAGACTTATATCTTTGGCGATTAAAAGCTCCTTGTCTGTGTAGTTTATTCTGAGCAGCAACCTTCATGGTGAAATAGTTATACTGGTTACCCTTTGAGGACTGAGATAGGAAGGTCAACAAATTCTTGAGTAGAGGGAACAATATTAAGAGAACAGAATGTCTCAACACACCTTGTCTGAGTGAGAGCTTCATTTGCAACATCATAGGATGGGAACAACATTAGCAATAACTGAGACTCACTCATCTCTTCGGCACCTCGAGGGACCCTTTTTCTAAAGCCGGGACGACAGCTTATCACGCTTTCATGAGAATCAAACGGAAGCTGCTCTGCATATGTCAAACCAATATCTGATGCAGGCTAGCGAAAATATGGCATCTTAGTTAAACTAGATGCCTGAGAGATGGGTGGTTTTCTTTGCTTCCTGGCTTTTATTTCCAATGTGATCTGGTTGAATGACAACCAGCCAATCTTGCTTCGTAGATATTAGCGAAGATGAATGCATTTCTTGTCCAGGATACCGCGCTCGAAAGCGTAGACATTTTTTCGCATTGAATCGATAGAAAGGAGTGCACGGGTCTATTCTTCATCCAGGTTTGCGGGAGGTGTCCGAAGAGTGAATAACGATCTGCAAATTACTTATTATGAATGAATCAGGGATTGAAACCGCCAGGATATAGCAGTGTAAGATGACCGATGGAGAATTTGCGGGGACGGTTCTTCGTGGTAAGGAACAACGTTCATGGGAGATACTGGGTAGGAGCAAAGTGGGGGTTTCTCCGCATGCTGCAAACTGTAAAGAAGATGATGCCATATCGTTCAATCTGTTAGGCAGAAAGTAATGTCAGGGTTATTAAATCAACCCCGCTCATGGCTCGTATGAGGCAATACATATCTGTCAAGGATTGTGGACATAATGTTTGGCAATACACTGGCGGACTACCAAGTTCGTCAATACACCTGCCTGGGTAGGACGAAGTAACCAGGAGAGTCTGGATAACTATTTGGACACCTGGGCAATGTTGAACAAAGGTGAATGGGAGATATATGCCACTGATAGAGACAAGAGGAGATTTTGAACAGTAACACAAGCTTATAAGATACGTAGGACGGGGAGTACAACCAGGACGATATAACTCAAAGGTAGATGGCATCAGGGTAACGTTTACTGCATGTGGAGAAGAGCTTGGCTCCTAGAGGTTCTTTAGAATATCACGGGATGGCAAATACCTCGGTACCGCACCTGGAGAAACGAACAGAGTGACAGTTGGCATTGCTATCCATTCACTTTCGCGTCTGCTATCCGACAGTCCGGGACACAACTAGATATAGAGAGTTATTGGCGGAGAGGGCGGGGCATATGTTGCCAACCTAGCCAGGCGGCGGACGGAAAAATTCTCGGAAAATGGCGGGGTCTTGGTACCCGACTCCTGGAGGAGAGTTGCCCCCATCCTGGACCAGTCCATGGTAATGAGAGCCTGATGCGCTGCAAGGGACTCTGTGGCACAATTCTGGCATTGAACTTCGCAAGTCCCTGCCAGGACTTTTAGCCAGTGGAATACTGCTGGGTTAGGATTTGTCTGGATGAAATAGCTGATCACATGAAACCATCTTAATCGGATTCGAATAATGTGAATGCAACAAGGAAATGCGGCTTATTGTTCTAGAAAGGGTATTGAACAATGGCAATGGGATGATATTTGTAAGTGCTCAAATATGCCCCCCAAAAAAATACCCACCCTAGAGAAACAATATTGGGCATGAAGGGGATGGGAGGTGTGTATATTTCATTCAGATTCATATAAGCCAGAACTGATGTGAGAAGCAAGTATACCAAAAAATAAATAAATAAATAAAATAAAGATCTCACATAAATTACCAAGCATGCAAAAACACAATGGTGGATGGCTCCCCATCAAGTCACCACAAAGTCCGTACCGGCTATATCAGAAAAGAAGATATCCAAAATATACACCTCCTACCTCTCCCCCTGTAAATTCGCTTAAAACTTCTCCAGTTTCTTCAAAAGCTTGCCTACCCCCCTGCCAATTCCAGACTGTCTCTGAGGCTGTTTGGAATAAGGCGCCGCGGCTTCAGACTCCGTTGGCCGATACACCTGGTGATGGATGTCGTATACAGTTCCACCAGGTGGAAGTTGCTGTTGCTGTTGCTGTGACTGGCCATACGAGTAGTGTGAGTATCTGCCTATTGGAGGCTGGGGAGGCGAAGGAGCTTGGCCTGCATAACCGGCCTGGTAATGCTGAGTTTGAGAATAGTGGGGCGATGCGGGAGATGGTCCACCGAAATTGTGCTGTCTCCATAAATGAGCATTTGGATCTGCTGGTGATTGTTGTGGTTGTGAGTATGGTACAGCGCCTGGAGTGACTGGTGGCGGTGGTGCGTGGGTAGCGACGGGAGGGGGAACGTAGGACATACTCGCGGGCTGATTATGTCTAGAAGCGTGAGACGAGGTCGATGGCGTGTGAGTCAGACCGGCAGTTGAGGGTTGTGATCCGTACTGTCCACCATATCCCGGAATTTGGCCTGGTGGGTGAGGAGAAAACCCAGGAGACATAGGGGGAGGGGCAGGAGGGAATGATTGGCCATGATCCGAAATGACAGCGGCAGCAAGTCCCGTTCCGGACGCAGTGTCCCGGGGCGGCGGTGTTTTCTCGCGTAACTTAATGGGCTCTGGAGCCGCAGGGGCAGCGGGATTATACGCCAGTGGAGCATAATTTACCTGTAGTTCCTCTGGTTTGGAGGCAGGTGGCGCGGGGGTTTCTAGGGGGCTGACAGGTTCTGATGAGACCGCTGATTGGATGGGTCCAGGTGCGAAACCTGGGAGCCGTTGCTGCGGAGCTGGTTGTTGTAGCTGGGGAGGCTCAGATCGGGAGTTTCTAGTCTGGCCATTGTGGTAAGCAGGATCAGTTATCGCTACATTCTCCAGTTGTCGCACCACAGGGCTCACGGCAGGCTCCTGCCCCGGGGCTTCGGAAGCGGGGAAAGTATCGAGTGGTGGAGGAGACCGGGCTTTTCGGACAGCTTCGGAAAATAGAGTAGCATCATTTGAAGTCCAAAAGTAGAGATCCAGGGTGTGTAGTCGGAGAACTGCTCTGCTTCCATCGCGAGAGTCAACGTGGGCCAATAGCCATTCATCCCGGTCAGCGCTTGAAGGCGGAGGCGACCCGTATATGGTCTGTCGAGGATCATCCACAGTCAAAGTGTAAAGCGTGGGAAATTTATCCGAGTTGTACAAATGAGCATCACCCAAAGCTAAAAGGCGCAGCGCGCTCATTAGCAACGGGGAAATGTGAGCCCCGAGAGACCTTCAGATTGACATACATCCACAAAAGGCATCCTGCTCTGGCATTCCAGGATAATTTGCGATTTCAATCCTTGCTGTTTTACGCTGAACGGCATCATGGTAGATGTAGAGGTAAGAGCCCTTGTCGAAGCGATGGTGCGCAGGCCGCGGTGAAGGAGCGGAGAAGTAGTAGTGAACGTCAACAAAGCTAGTAGAGTCAGTAACAGAAATGCAATGGCCGAAGATAGGTATCGGCTTACACGGTGACTAGACATTCTTCGCCAGGAAGTGGAGGCATTGAATGCGACAGGGACGTATGCTGTTAAGAAAGATCGCAAGACAAGGGATAGGATAACACCACGAGAGCGACGCTCTGATCGCTACACAAGAACAAGAAACAGAACAGGTGGATGTGGCGGGGATACGAAAATCAGACAGCAATAATGAAGAACAAAGATATATCGAGAGTTGAGATGGAAGAGAGGGCTTGGAGGAATGAACGAAGAAGACGGCTAAGCGCCGTCCTGTCTGTCAGCCCATCCCATTATTGTGCAGCTGATCCCCGCGCTTAAGCAGGGTGAGGTTGAGAATTGCCTGATTGGGCCATTTGGGCTGATTAAATAACCAAGGGTTCACAGGTATTTTGACGGCGCAAATTTATTTAACGGAATTGTCTGTAAGGAGTAACTATAGGAATCTATCTTGGTATCAGTTGAGTCCGTCATCATTAACTACCGCCGACAGTGGTGGTGCATGCTGATGTTGGTGGGAATCGGACCAATTCCCACATCTGGACGGACGTGGTTAAGAGGCGCAACATAGTGGAAATATGTTGAATGGCACGGATACACGGCGTATATTACCTGGGAAATAGCCAGCTAACGAATTTGGTGCCGGCTGGCACCATCAAATATCACTGGAGGTGACGATAGAAACACCCCGCGCGAGTTGCACCCTTGGGGCCGGTAATAATCAACAACCCCCGACAACTCATTTTCTTACCTCTTCCAGTCTTGAAATCTGGCCAACACTGAAGTCTGTGTGTCTTCATACAAACAACGTGTTCTCCCAGTGCCAATTTATTATAGTGTTATCTCCCTCCTTGTCTCTCATGTATACTTTCTGCATTCTCAATAGCGACGAAAGGAACAATCACAGAGTTGAGTTGTCCGCCAGCAGAACATCCTCTTCTTGACACAGCAAGATGTGAAGACAGGGCAGAAGAAGCTTCAAGTTGAGACGTTCTCTGCACCAGATGTTAGATCACTCCAGTCAGCGTTTGTTAAGAATTATAACTAATTGTTGTTTTATTCTATAGTATTTCATCTCTGCCTCTTCACCTGTTAAGCAAGAACTGAGTCTGTAAACTGATTAACCACTCAACTGATTTCAACCATTTACAATTTATCTACACTAGATTAGTCAACTACCTTTCTCAGAGGATATAACAGCAGACAGATTGACTAAACACCTACGCACAGTGACATCTGAGTGGTTTTCTTTATATCCGGAAGTGTAGGAGAGGTTTGATTTCCTGCTATGATGTAGCATGTTTTCGGGTTGATTCCGGGCAATGGATAATAATTAGCTGCCTTCGAGATTTATCGTGTTTGGTGGGCCACCCTTGCACGTGATCAGGCGTAAATAGAATAAGCTCGCTCCCTTGTGAAGTCCCATACAAGAGTTCAACCATCCGACTAGAGGGACAAAACCAACGACGAGCCCAACGTCCGTCCCAAACAGCCCCCAAACACTAAGGCTACAAAACACAATCCGAGGAGTCAGCCTCTGCTCTCCCTTTCCTTGCCGAAAACCTCCACAGGGCAATAATAATACAAAACCTATATCCACAATGTCCCTCAGCAACCTCGCACAGGTCTGCTCCTCCATCACCAATGCCTCCAAAGCCCGCCTCGCCATAATCTCCATCTCAAACACAAAACTACACCGAAACCTCTCCATTGCCCTCCGAAATACCGGATTCATCTCCACCGTCGTGCTAGGCGGCTGCCAGCCCCCCCCACAACACATCCTCCTCAAGATCCCAGCCGCCAACGACGAGGTCGAGCCCGTCGAGCCCGTCACGACGGCAAACATAGCGTCGCGACGGCTCTGGTTGGGACTGAAGTACTGGCAGAATGAGCCGGTGATTACCAAGATGTCGCTGGTGAGCAAGCCGAAGAGGAGGCTGACGCTTACTGTGCCCAAGTTAAGACATATTGTGCTAGGGGAAAAGAGGGGGACTGTTGAGGGGCTGAGGTCACCGGGGGAGTGTTTGTTCTTGTTGACTAACCGTGGGATACTGGAAGCGAGGGAATGCGTGGAGAAAATGACTGGGGGCTTGGCATTGTGTAGAGTTATTTGAGACTGATAATAGAGAGAGGTGTTGTGAGTTCTCGATTCTTTTTATTGTTACATATGAAATGATTATTTTTTTTTTTTTTTTTGTGTGTGTGTGTGTGTGTGTGTCAGGTTTACTACAAGTCACAGCAGAGCAAAATAACAACTGACTAACTTAGCACTGCGCTTGCTTGTATGTGTATGTATATTATTGATCGATGTTTTCATACCCTTCCGTTGGAGGACCAAGACCATTTTTATAGAATTAGTCCCTATATATCTGTCCTCGATGCGATGTACTTCACCTCCCTTACCCAAAAACACCCTCTGCTCCTATTTCTTGATACAATCGATCCCGCTACGTTCGTGCATCTCCTGCCCTTGACCTAATTGTCATATCTGGCGCCAGAAAATGCAATGAGCTGAGAATCAACTATATACTACCCTGCCTTGATTTACTCTGCCGAGCCCTTAAGGGAATGGTTCACATGCACAAACCGGGCCTAATCCAAACCCAACTACCAAAAATGATACACACACACTTTGCTTGTTTGAATGTGAGGGCAGGTGCTGCAAAGAAACAACTCATATATTGCAACCCAAAAAATCTTACATTTACAAAAAGGAAACTTTCGCAGGGTCTTGCCGCGACTCGAACGCGGGGCCTCTCGCAATCTTTGCGTCAGGGTGAACCCTAAGCGAGAATCATACCACTAGACCACAAGACCTCATATTGACCTTCAAATCGCTGGACCTGCACAATTTGAGTCTGCAGAACAGGATCTGTATCGCCCCTGAGGGCTATGACCAACCCGACTAATAAGATAAGATCTATGAGAGGTATTTAATGGGGGCCCCATATTTTATTGTCTTGTTGAAAGAGAAGTTGTTATCTCTATTCTTGAATTGTATTTTTTCTCGTGAAAGAGTGGGAAAGGTGATAATGATATATACATGCATACCAGTCCCTATCTAAATGATTCAGATCACACAACAGAACGGTTCTTGCACGGCAGCTTATTCTTGAACAGTAATTATATTTCACTAGCTGACTGACTGATCTGAATCCATTGAAGCTGTTGATTGAAGATGTATGATGAAGAAGGATAAGTGAGAGAGGATATATATATGACAATAAGAAAAACATACACAAAGAAATAAGGCCAAGATGAAAAGGGACAGCCTATGAATGATGAAGGCAAACATGAATAAAGAAGAGAAGAAAACACCGGAAACGAAAGGAAACATTGCATATGCATAGGAGACAAAAGGTGGGTTTCGAGAGCCCGGGTGCATAACTCGATGATTTGGGCACCGGCAACGCTGCTTGCCGCAGGAGTGGGGGTGTAAAGGGCCGCTCGACGGAGATATATATGCAAGAAGCGAAGGGAGCGAGGAGTTGTGCTTGACCTTTATCATGTGCTGCTCTCCCTGCCTTCCTTCCGTCTTATCCCAGGTCTCTTCGTGCATAGAACGATCATTGCGAACAACAACACTTGAACATGGATATTCTCGCCAAGCGAACGCTGGACACCACCCCACCCTACCCTCCTATGCATCGTTTACGACATGGAAAAACAACAAACTCCAAAATTCCAAAATCCACATTCCCAAAAGAGAAAGAAAAGAAAGAAAAGAAAAATAACAGAAACGTAATGACTTCTTAACGCCTCCTCTCAAAGTATCCACTGGACCCTAACACCGCCACGCTCTGATCCATCACCCACTCGCCAATACCCAGGTAGCTCTCCACCCACTTGTTCACCTGCGGGTTATCCGATATCTTTTGTGAATTGAGGCTGGGGCTGAGATAAAGGGGTTCATCCGACCAACCCACTTCACCCGACGACACGACATGCCCCCCTCATGCACGACATGTGCCAAGGGTCTGGAGGGCGGAAATGTTGCGGTACACGGGAACAGTAATGGGAGCCTGACTCCTTTTGCGATGATCACTATAGTCTGTTGGGGGGTTGGAGGGGTGCGCATTGTGATTGGAAAATTTTGTTGGGTGTAGGAGAAGGAGGGATGGTCGTCGAGGAAGGTTCGTGTAGTTTCGCGGGATGGGAAGCTAGAGCAGGGGCAGTTCCGTCGCTGTGTACCGCAACAAATTCCGGGCCGTCGTGTGGGGGAGTGGGGGGGAGAGGTGAGTAGCTGTTAGCCTGGTGTTCCTTCTTGTATGGACATGTCCTCTGTGCATATATATATAATACTCTGGTATGGCGGAGGGGGATATTGAAATATTTACGTTAATCCTGTTGACCGCTTAATGCCAGCTAGAAACGCGGAGACTGTTTGGGGTTGTAACTGAGGTTAGTTTTGCTGGAAGATGGACTGGTTGGAGTAGTTAGTGAAGAGGGAAGGGGTGAACGAACGTAGAACAGCATCGAAGGCGTAGTGGGTTATGCGTCCGAGCTATAAGAAAGGGGTTTGTTAGTAAAAGCGAGATTGAGATAGGGGAGGAAAAGGAAGGGCGAAAAGCGAGACATACCACCATGGCTGAAGATGCGTGGTGAATTTGGTATGGGGTAACAATGGATGGGGGAGGAGAAGGGCTTGTTTGTTTGGTACGGCGGATCGGATGGGGGATTGCCGGGGGTGCCAAAGGAAATGAAGAGCGATGGCAGGAAGGGTATCGGAACAGCTGGGGGAAGAGCTGCGCAGAGAGAGGAGCGTGGAGTAGGTATATGGTATTATTTTGATATACAGAGGAATGAAACAGATATGCAAGATATACAAGATACGTATAGCTGTTCGTAGTATTCGTAAGTAGTAGTAGTAGTAGTAGTAGTAGTAGTAGTAGTAGTAGTAGTAGTAGTAGTTGTTGTTGTTGTTGTTGTTGTTGCCGCTGGTCGCTGTGGTAAGTGGGCAGCAGTTGGTCAGCGATCTCGGTTGCCTGGATGAGGCAACATGTGATTTGCTCTCGAGGCATATTAGGTAAGGTATTAGCTCAACTCTAGTTACTTCTGTTGGAGGATTTCCCGGCTACCCGAGGTCACGTGCACCTATATATATTTGTTACTTGTAGCTAGCTCGCTTAGAGTCCCCAATGCAACAAAGTGATATCGGTCCTCTAATGTTAGGAGCCTTGCAATAGGGACTCCGGGGCGAAGCTAGCGCGGTATAGTGCAATATAGAGGTCTTATTGGTTCTAATCTAATCCTTGAGGAGGAGAGGAATGAGGTTAGGCCACTGAGTGGCGATATTATATACAGAACGTGGGTCATGTGCGCGTCATAACCCTAACCCTAGGCCTTAGCTCCTTTCATCTAAGAACTTCAAATTTAGTTTAGGCCACTGTCAATTTCCGTACGAAGAGTACGCTAATCCCAAAACATACTAGAAGCTGGGGTTTCGGAGGTGGGTAAATGTAGATCCGGATATTGATGTCATGTCGGATCTGGCCAATCAGGAGCGAGCAGTCCAGATCTGGAGTGATGAGTCAGCATTCTGGATCGTGGAAGGAACAACGATGACGTGCAGTTAGAACTGCCTGGCATAAAGGCCCAATTGCCCACCAATTGCCCAGTATTCGTCTATTATACTGGACAAAGGACGGCTGAAATCTACACTTATATGGAGGCACGTGATTATGCTGGCCGCAGTTATTATTTCCACCAACACAACTCTGCTCAAATCCTTCAAATCCGCAATAGTAAAACATGATTACAACAATCAGACACTAAATTCCTGAATAGAAAAAGGCGTCCGCACAAAGCATAAACTGAAAGATTCAAAACAGAACACACAAATATATCTGGTTATTCTTGTATTTCCCGTACACCCACACCGGGCCGCAAAATCAGACTGCCTCCACTAATCCAATCTTTCTCAACGAAATCAACGGAATGCAGGCTTCTCTTCGTGAATCCGTTTTGATTGTGGTGTGTCAGGTGTAATGATCTCATAAGAGATCTCGCCTCAGCCATCCCATTGATTGGCAACCCCCAAGTAGGGAGGTCCTTTCTCAGCATATAGCGTACGGCTATTACCCGCAACATCCATGAAGAATCTCATCGCTGGCTTCACTGCTCTGGCTCATCGGTGCAAACGGTAGTTGTGTCCATTCGAACGTCATTCAACGGGATTTTCGCCCCTTCAGAAGGTATATCAACCTTCCCTACAGCCGCAGCTATGGCCGTAGCGGGGGACCGTAACTCCGTCTGCCATTTAGAGTGTGACAAGTGACTTTTTGAGACTTAATCTCGATGATCTCTTTGCGAGGTGTGGCGTGAGCTCCCGAATCGGAGTCTAGGACCCTGGTATCTTCGCCAGTTTGGCCACTACAATAAGCCTTCTCCGCCGTGCAGAATATCTGCTTGATGATGTTATGAACTGGGGGTGAACCAGTCCCACCCTTATCCTTGTCTTTATTCTTACCCATTGAGGCAGGACGTTTTCCCGGAAATTTCAAGCAACATTCAGACTGTATGTGGCCAACCTTCTGGCAGTAGTATTCTGGTTGCGTTCCTGACACTCATTTCAAGTGTTTATTCTTTCTCACGGAGTCTCGGTATTATATTTGGGGGGGTGGGGGCATCTTCATATCTGTTTGTGGGAGGTTCATCGGCAGCTGGCAGTCGTACAAAGGATATCACACCATGGGCCCATGAAATCGGATTCGAGATCTTGGGCTTTCTCATTCTCCTCAATTTGATACATACGGTTCCTTATTAAAGAAGGGCCATTCCTTGCTAACTCCTGTAAGAAGTCGGTTAAAGAGCATGAAATCCTGCATTTGATAATAGAGAATCTTGAGGCATTATAAAATAAGATTTAGCCTGTGGGGTGATTGCAGACCACATATAGCCGTAAAGCCAGATATTTCTTTCTGACCAAAACCGTCGCATATCCACACTGGCGTTCTCATCGTGGGACTTTCGTTTTTCCCCCCAGTATACCATCGGTTTCAGATTGCTTCGCTGCGAGGAGGATTTCTTCTCCCCACATTTGGGTAATTTGCAGTGCCAATCAGGGAGATGGGCTTCTTGATGCGTTTCACTTGATGCATGAATTCACCAAGAATCTGTGACGGTCGCAGGCACCCTTCCTTCTTGATGAAGGTATTCTGCCAGATCCGCACTGACTTCTTCAGTAGAGGGCTCTCCGCTACTAACTAGCTCTCATTCGTTCGACTTCGTGCTGAAGGCGCGCGATCTCCAGCTTCACTCACTGGGCCATCATGGCCAGAGCCGGGTGACACGTATTCCTCGATAAATCAGGTATTCTACCTGATCTGAGATTGACCATGGATTCAAAGTATCCACAAGAGCGTCTAGGCACGTTTAAACAATTAAGTGGAGACGTTGTTAGCACGTCATCCGCAGGCTTCTACCAATCAAAGGGCGTCATAACTTGATGGAATGACACTGGTTGTTATGTATATGAACTAGTCTAGCCGAAAGCTATTAACCGTGTAGTTTTATAGATATAGATATATATATATATATATTTATGTGGAGACACGTGAACATCCCGTTACATAATCACACAATCTGTGTCTTATTTTGCGCTGTTGTTGCGGCGAGGGAATTAATGAATATTCTGATAATTTTTTTTGGAGGATTCAAGAGGAAAAGTCTGCTCCATACTCCAATTGTTGTAGTAGTAGAGAAGTGTAGCATGTCTAAGAGTGCAACAGAAGAGCCTTGTTAACTCCAACCACTCACTAACATGTTAGTTAATGGAGACTTTAATGATGAGCTTATTTCTGGGTCGCGTCCTGGATGCTAAGCTTACCTTGTTTTTTTTTTATTATTAATTCTTATATCCAACCTCTTAACTACGCGGGCTCCTCTGTTCTAGTATTATTCATCAATTCAATATAACAAGTTATAAGGTATCTTCTGCGGAGAGTTCTTCTTTCTTCTACTCCTTGCACATGAACAAAGCAATTATTATTAACTATTGCCTGCCCTCTCATGTGAGATCACAGCCTAAGTAACAAATTGCCACCCCCCAACAAGCAACACTTTTCTCCCACCAGCCAACCAGAGAAAGTGAAAGGAACAACATTTATCGAAGAAGACAGGGAGGACAAAGGACCATCCAGTAATCTTTTACCTGCCCTCTCCTAGCGCGACTGTCTGCCTCCTTGGTTCCGTCTGGTTGGATTACTTGCCGTTTGCTGACCTGCAGTCCCCAACGCACCTCCAGCCCTGTTGAGAACCCACTGGGCCGCATACAGCTTCAACCATCATCCTATTGCAACTGGCAAGGCTCCAAACAGGCATTGGCAAAAGTAGCCCAAAATAGCTGCAGCGAGAGACCCCATCTTTCTCTCTGCCCTATTTTTTGCCTGCTGAGTATCAATCGACCGGAAAAAAGAACTCTATTCCTGCAGTCTGCTCTTCCTCCCGCAACCGTGGCCTCCCTACAACGTCAACAGCAACAGCCCGCCACCGACATGGCGAACTCTCTCGATCACCTCACCAGCGGGAGTAAGCTGGAGTGGATGTCCAAACTCCAATGCGACTATAAGCCCCTCAGAGGGGAGAATATCGCGAACTATGCCAACTACCGCCGTACCGCAATCATCGGGACCATTGGTGCGTTGAAGAAGCCTTTTTTTTTTCCCCCCCCACCTCAACCTTCACCCGCACTTCGTGGCTGCAACCCTGAAGATGTAACCTTTCCTCTCGCATTTTTATGTTTTGGCACCCCCGCAATCTCCATTGTGGCATGGAGATCTTAAGAAGACGATGAAGCTAACGATTGGAATTATGTTTCTTCCTGCTCATTAGGTCCGAAAACTAATTCCATTGAGAAGATCAATATCCTGCGCAAAGGTCTGATTGCTACCGCAGCTCCCGGTTTCCAAGTTGTGAACAGGGGTGTTTGGGTGTGGGGCTAACCTTGATATGTTCACATCCCTCTAGCTGGTGTCAATGTTGTTCGCATGAACTTTTCCCATGGCGATTACGAGGTAATTCCCCCCCGTGAAACATTTCAAACAGGCTCAGAAAACTAACTGGTGGTGTTGCTTTGCGTCTAGTATCATCAATCTGTCATTGATAATGCCAGAAAGGCTGAGCAAATTGAAGCAGGGCGCCCGCTCGCTATTGCTTTGGATACCGTAAGCCAAGCCACTCATCTACACGATATTATCTACTTCTATGAGAGATGTGCAAGAACTGACCTTTGGCCCCTCAACTGTGCAGAAAGGACCAGAAATTCGAACCGGCAAAACAGTAGGTGGTGAGGATATTAAAATATTTGAAGGAGCGGAGTTGATTATTACGACTCACGATGACTATGCGGAGAAATGCGATGATAAATATCTGTTGAGTACCCCGGTTAAATTCTGGTATCCCTACAGCGTTAAAAAAAAGAAAAAGAAAAAACTAATCCACCAATTAGCTACGTCGACTACAAGAACATCACGAAGGTGATTCAGAAGGGTAAACTAATATACGTGGATGACGGCATTCTCTCATTCCAAGTCCTCGAGATCATAGACAATCATTCTCTCCGCGCCAAGTGTCTCAACAATGGCTTCATCTCCTCCAAAAAGGGCGTCAACCTCCCCGGAACCGACATCGATCTCCCCGCCCTCTCCGAGAAGGACAAAGCCGACCTCCGTTTCGGCGTAAAGAATAAAGTCGACATGGTCTTCGCCTCCTTCATCCGCCGCGCCTCAGACATCAAGGACATCCGCGCTGTCCTAGGCGAAGAAGGCAAGGAAATCCAAATCATCGCCAAGATCGAGAACCAACAAGGCGTCAACAACTTTGATGAGATCCTTGAAGAAACTGACGGCGTCATGGTCGCACGTGGAGACCTAGGTATCGAAATCCCTGCGGCAAAGGTCTTCATCGCCCAGAAGATGATGATTGCCAAGTGCAACATTAAGGGCAAGCCTGTCATCTGCGCGACACAGATGCTTGAGTCGATGACATATAACCCGCGTCCCACGCGTGCGGAGGTGTCAGATGTCGCCAATGCGGTTCTGGACGGGGCGGACTGTGTTATGCTGTCTGGCGAAACTGCCAAGGGCGATTATCCCAAGGAAGCTGTCATGATGATGCATGAGACATGTCTGATTGCCGAAGTTGCTATTCCATATGTCAATGTCTTTGATGAGTTGCGGAATCTCGCGACTCGACCCCTGGATACCGTCGAGTCCATTGCCATGGCTGCTGTCTCTGCGAGTCTGGAGCTGAATGCCGGAGCCATTTTGGTGTTGACGACGAGGTAAGTTGTTCCATATCATCTTTCACTGCAATTAAGGGAGGGGGAGGAAATGATCAAGTTTAACTCACGCATACATCCAATTCATTATATAGCGGCCACTCCGCCCGTCTCCTCTCCAAATACCGTCCCGTCTGCCCCATCATAATGATCACTCGCAACGACATTGCTGCCCGTGTAAGTTTATTTCCTCCTTTCCCTCCCCACTCTTGCTCACCCCAACCCAACCCAACCCAACCAAACCAATCAACTAATCTAATTCCCACCAAATCAGTACTCCCACCTCTACCGCGGCGTCTACCCCTTCATCTTCCCCGCAAAGAAGCCCGACTTCACCCGCGAGAACTGGCAAGAGGACGTCGACAACCGTCTCAAGTTCGGTATCGCCAAGGCCATTGAGCACCATGTTCTTTCCCGCGGTGACTCTGTCGTCTGTGTCCAGGGCTGGAGGGGCGGGATGGGTCATACAAATACCATCCGTGTGGTTCCTGCGGATCCGGAGAATTTGGGGCTTGCGCAGGGGTAAGCGAAGGTGGATTGGAAGAATGTTAGATTTAGGTTTAGATGTAGGTTTTTGTTTATAAGTTAGTTGGGGTAGGGATGTGAAGTACGAAGAACCAAAGGAATTGCTGTTTTTTGACATTATTTCTCTTAGCAGGAAAGGGATTTGTCGAAAAGTACAATCGGGCTGCTACTAGGCTTCAGTGAAAAGAAGCCTAATCTGTGTTATTTTCCCCGCATTTTAGAAAGGGTGCTTTTTGCTTCTCGAGGAGCTGGTTTTGTAATGAGGATAATGGCGGATGTATGTATGTGCTTCCATAAATGTTTTTTTTTTTTCCTCTTCTATTCTAAAAATAAGTTAAAAACAAAAAAAAAAACGATTTCATGCTTGGGTGATACTCTTTTATCTGTCTATCCTCGAATTTCCATTCCCCCTGCCTTCCTCATATTATGAAGAATTGTTCAAAGTTGTCAATATCATCAGATAAAAATTTATACTTTTCAGTAGTGTTTTACACAAGCTTAAATCATTCATAAATAATCTCGCAGTGTCTGCTGATGATTGTTCTTTTATAAGGACTTGAATTTTAGTTTTTTGGGACTGTTCACAAAATTTCATACTTAATTCTGACTTTAGTTGAAGAAGAGTTAGAGTCTCAGTTGATAAGAAGAATATAAATCATTTTTTATTTT